ATAGCAGTACTTGAAGCTAACGATGGTGTTTGGCCAGGGGTTCGAACTCCGAGTCATGCTCTATTTATTTGGACTAGTGGCTCTGAACTGACAACAATTTTAGAAGAGGATCACATTCCGAACAAATACATTTCAAAAGCTCTTAGGTATGTAGCATTTGTTGTTTGACGTCTTTGCAATGTAAAACCGCCTGTATATATATATATTCTTGTGTCTAACGTCTTGTCTGCTTGTGAGATCAGGGAGTTGTCTAAAATAATCCCTGGATTAAGGCCATGGGAGGTTCTAAGTGTGGAACAAGCAATGGATCAAGTAACGTATGAAGGAGAGTGATTCCGTGAACCTCTTGACTCGTACACGACAGGTCCTCCATACATTCGAGCTTGGAATAATGATGTCAAGGTACTGAATATCTTTTTACATCAGTTTTGACTAAAAGTTTAGTTTTCTAGAGTTTCATGATTGTGTTCAAAGCTAACCATTGAACACTTACTCCAAGTAAACGCTCATTAGCAATTGATGTAGTAAAAAATAATCATAAAACACCTTGACGAAAGCAAACTCTGATTGGCAATTGTATTAAGTTGGTTATGTTATCCAAGTTTTCTTTACATTTTGGTATTGTGAATCCTGGTAGTTACAACAACATTGCAAATTCCTATCGGTCCATTACTCAAGGTCGAAGGATACAAAGAGATTTATTTGCATGTTAGTTTCTCAACCTCTTTGGACGTTTTGCGTACTTTCTCTTTGCAGGCACTTCCACTAAATCTTTGTGGGTTTTTTCGTGTTCAGAGACTATATAATATTTTCACCAACCTAAGAACCCGAGTCGACCAGAAACTGGAGCGAACAATTCCTGGTTTCAATAAGATAATGGAGAAAGTCCATGCTGATGCTGCTGCTAGGGATGCCAGACGGAAGGCAAGAAAAGAGTGATCCCTAACTCACAATTTGTCATACTTCTGTGCACTGAACGGTAACACTTCAAAATTCCACCACCACTTCACGGTGACTTGTACATAAGATCTGCTTTCAAATGATAATTTATTATCTATCATTCTCCCAGATTGCGGTGCTCAATATATAATCTTCCATGGTATCTGTTTGTACTTCACGTCGACCGGATCATGACGGCTATTTGAGAATAACCTTTTGAAAGCATGGGAGGATGGTAAGGTTAGATTTGAAAACCAACACCAAGTAGGCTCAAAGTTCACCAAGAAAGGAAAACAAAAGCGGGCCCATATGTGGAGATACAACACACTTCAACCAAAAACCGAGACTTCGCACTGCAAACTCTATGACCTTGTATCGTTCAAGAATTTGATTAGAATGGATAACTCACTATTTTACAGGTATGCTGAAGGCAAACTTTACACTTCAAACACGGTCGCATTATTTCTTCTTTAAACATACATTGATATGGTAGTTTATGTTTTCAAATCCAATCCTAGGGACTAAGTAAGGGCTGGTTTGGTATTGCTGTGTTTTGAAAAAAAAAACTGCTTCTGCTGTGCTGTGAGAATAAGCAGCTGTGAAATAAAGCAGCAGAGTGTTTGGTAAACTTTTTTGTAAAAGTGCTTTTGAAAAAAAAAAAAACAGTATTATAGTGTTTAGTAAACTTTTATGTAGAACAAATGTGAAAAAAAAATCGATTTTTCAAAGCTGGGTTTTGCAGCTTCTTGTTTTTGGCTTTTTTTTCATCCAAAACTATGAAAAAAAGCTGAAACTGAATGTTTACCAAACATAAAAACAGCTCCCAGCTTTTTTCAGAATCACCTCAGTACCAAACTAGGCCTAAAGCTAGCGTTTTCGCTTTACATTGTAGTCCAATAACCTCTAAGTTCAGCTATCTAACATTTGATATGGATGTAGTTGTCTCAGCTCGGTCGAAGAATGTCTCACATTTGAATTACATTAATATTAATACCGTATACATTGCAATGTGTACGTTATTCAGTTACGGTTAAATCCATTTTGGCGTAACTTTGTCGTATACCCATCTTCGAAAAATAATTTCTTGGTACATGTAAATTGTCACCATAATGAAGCCCTATCTATTATTTGTCACCATAATAGGTACCATCAATTGCTACAATTGAAAATGGGCAATAGCCATCAACACATAAATTAAACGAGTGGCAAAAGCACAAGATTACAAGTCTATATATTATCTCAAATCCCAAAAGATGATGTGATGATGAGATGATGAATTATTTAGTGGCGGTCGGTGAGACGTCAAGGAGTATGGTTAAAGACCACACAACATGAAGCGGTTGCATGTCACATGCTTTCAGTCCCTCCGCTACCCACTACTAGCAGTGCCAAAAGGGACGGAGGCAGATTGTCTACCTTATTGTTTGAATGTTCTTCTTATTTTTTTATTATTTGTGTGGTCACGATTAAGCCACGTTAATATTTTATATTTCTATTGCTTTTTGTCTTATTATTTTTATATATATAAAAAAATCAATGTAAAATATTGACGTGGTTTAACCGTAACCGCACAAAATAAGAAGGGATGAGAATGACACCTAAACAGGAGGACAGACAATTTGCCTCCAAAAGGGGATTAAGTAGAGTTCTTACAAGTATCTTTTAATTTTACGGGTTAATTACACTCACGTCTCCTTAGATTCTTTGCAATTTATAATTTTTTTTAAGCTTTTCTTAAAATAAAAAAATAAAAAGGAAAACTAATGAAAAGTTCTTAAAAATTTTAGTTTTAACGAAAATGACAAAATAAAGGTGTAAGTAAATAGTACTATGAGTGATTTTTCAAGGTAAAATGTCATTTTTCGTAAGAAGTAAACATTGCCGGAAGTGTTTTATTAAAATTTCCTAAAAATAAAGGAACAGCTTATTGTCAAGCCACGACAATCCATTCTTTCAATACATTTAAGCCTTCTTTTAGCTACCAACGTGTGATTCATCAACGTCAGGAATAAAACCGAAAATAAACCGTATGAAATACAGACCTAAAATTCATCTCAAGCATCAACCCGTGATAATTAACTATTTTTAAGCTTTCAAAACTTACTCCAACGCCTCCTAGGATTCTAAATTTTTTTCACAAGACTCGTTCTATTTGAAATTCTGTATAAAAAGTTGATGAGATTGTCGAGACAAAATTTCCCATAACAAAACTTCATGCTACATATCACACATTTCTTTACACGTGCTATCTACTAATTATGTTACATATCACATCACCAACGGACCAATTTAAAAAAAATAATAATTAATTAACAATAAAAAAGAAGTGTAGAAGCATAAACTAAATGGCACTAAAAGAAAACGGAAAATCCAACAAACCGTTTGACTAGGGGCCCATCACTACCTTCCTCCATCCACTATAATATTAAGAATCTTGGGAATCAAGGATACGAGAGAAAAGCAAAATTCCAAAATATCCCTCCTACTCATTGTCCATTTCTTCTTAAATAAATATTTCCCAATTTCTAATTTTCTACCTAAAAAGTTTTCTAATTTAATTAATTTTTATTGTCCTTCTTAAACGTACAGGTTTATTTATGTCACCTGATTTTTTATTTTATTTTTATTAAAAAAAAAAATTTTGAATCAATAATTTCTCGCACGCCTGGTTGCAAAGGTTTATAAGTAAGTGTCAGCCTAGTCTTCGATTCTCGTAACCAAGTTTTTCTTTTTTCGCTCCTTATGTTTTGTACTTTTTCTTACTTAATACGTACTTTGTTTCAAATAGGTTTATCCCATATCAGCATGCTCATTAACAAAGAATGTCCTGCTTAGTTAACAAACATCAAGTTTGGAGTTGGTCAGCGTGGATACAAAACTATTGAAGTGTAGATTGGAAAAAAAAAAACAAGAATATACTTGAGAGAAAAAGACGCATAAAAATTATTTCCATGTAACACATGAGATTCACCCAGAAAATTAGGTCAATTAAGCAATCCCACTCACATGTTTTAACTTGGGTTAGACAATGAATCACAAACTCTCCAATTGGGTAAGTCCCACCTGCCATACAAAATTGAGCCACTTCGTAATACCAATTTTAGGCCTCCCTACTTGATCAGACTGACATTGGAAGCAAAGTTGTATTGGGGTGGGGTGACACAGGTGGTGTGGTGTGATTGGCCAGAGGTTTAAATTTGGAATGATCCAATCAGAGTGCAACAAAAATACACTGTTTTGATGAGTGTTGCGTAGTGCTATGTCTACATGCAGTTTGTTGGCTTTGCTTGGATAGTAGTATTTTAATGAGGGGAAGTTAGGAGAACTGAAAAATTCAACATATAAAATGGAGAGGAGGGGAAGGAATAGGAACCATCTGAAGATGGTGGGTTGGAAGACATGGATATGCTTCAAGCAATCCTTCCTCCTCCCAACTAAGTGCTTCCTTCTCAAGCTTGCTTCACACTCAAGGCACAAATCCAAAGGTGAGTTAAGTTTCCAATTATACCCTCTCCCTTCTCATTCTCTCACGCTCGGACTTCCCTGCAACGGAAATGCTACTGTAACAGTATCTCAAGCCAATTAGACGCTGCTATCTGAGAAGTTTAAAACTCAAGGCGGTGCGTGATTGTTTTAGGATACTGCTATAGTGGGATTCGTGGTGCGGATGAATTTCTCTCGTTGAATTGTTTTTGAGATTTGGGTTAAATTTGCAGGAAGCGGGCATGGATTGGTGGGCTTGTACAAAGACATGGAGTCTCATGGGGAATATGAAGATATAAGAGTGATGTGGGAGATTATTCACTCTTGTCAACAGAATACAAACAACACTAAAAGGAGGAGGAAGCGGTCTTCTTCTTGCTGGAGATTCTGTCTTCAGCCTACATAAATTTTGTCCTTCCTTTTCAAGAGAGAGATATGAATCTTAGCTTTTGGTTCTGCAGGATTTCACATGTAAATACCAGTACTCTGAGTGAGTATGCATGATAGTTTTTTCTCGATTTCATTCTTAGCGTTGTTCGAGCGCGCTACTCTGTAATTTTAGAACAGAAGAATGAGAGTGTTTCGAATAAAAGCATATAAGAAGGTCCACTTAATCATAACAGAACTTAGTTCAATTTGTACAGAGTCATAGACTAACAGGATCACTAGAACATAATCACTAATTCAATAAACTCTTCACTACATAAGTTGGAGGCGATCAAACCCTCGAACCAACGATTTGCGCAGCAGTAAGTCTACTCTGACCTGTCGAAGGCGCCTACCTGAGCTCACACTCTTATCAGCTTGCCTAAATAATTATACATAATTCTGGAGAGAGAGAGAGCACTCCAAAGAGAGCTGTGAATTTTTAATTTGCAGCATCACCCTCATGAAGGAGCTGTTGGTCAAAGTGCCACACTCCTGCAAGCCATGAAGTAGCTCATTAGAGTCCAGAAATTAAGATACGAGGAGTCTGAAAGGAAAATACAATGGCGAAAAGTTGGAAGTTTGAAATTTGTTTCATACCATGGCCTTTTCCAACCATTCTCAGCTGAGTGACATAGTCAGCTATCTTCTTAATGGCTTCAACCTGTAAATAATACAGGAACAAATCGTTAGCCAGTGTTTGAATATTGCAAAGCAGCGGATTTCCTTCTGCGTTTTGGTATGTTCACTTATTCAAATGATTATCAACCAGAGTAAGAACCAATAACAGCCGATCTTGGCTTTTTACCCTACTGATGACAATATCACAATAGTAATACAAACTCATACTAGAGTAGAAAACGTGTTTAATTCACCTGCTCAGCCAAAAACTCGCTCTCGATAAAATCTGTCAATTGGGCATCATTGTTCTCGTCTGCAACCTGTTTTGGATCGAATAATGAGAATTTAATACAAAAAGAAAGCGTCAAATGGAAACGAGACACCATGAGCTTAATCAATGACCTCAAACCGATCTCATATGACAGAGAGATGTTACCTTATGCAAGTTCAAGAGTTTTTCATTTGTCAGCTTCTCCAAAGACAATGCTAACTCCATAGCTGCATCAACGAATCAACGAAAAATAAGTTAATCTTGGAGACTAATTTAAGGGTTTGTTTTTGTTTTTTTAAAGCTTGACTTAAGTATTCTAAATTAATGTATAGGTCTTCACTTGTTGGTTTCAGATAAAGACATGCTCATTCTCTAATTATACATTTCACCTATTCAGCATCCAGCAGCAAAGAAATTGTCAACGCCGATAGTGCCCTGTTGTCTACGGAATGAAAAATCTTACCATACAATGCATCTCCCTTTTCTACATGATCAAACTCCGTAGGCGGCGCTACTATGGAGTGCAGTTTCACTCTCCCACCTCGCATATTCTGAGAAATAAACCGCAACACTATCAAATCTCGCAATACAAGACCCTAACACACCACACGAACACGCAGACACACAAAAAACTCGATGTCCTTGATGCCGAAATGAAAAAGAATGCAGAGAGTTGAGTTTAACTCATACCTGATATTCCATCAGCTTTTCGGCATGTTCTCTTTCTTCCTCGCTCGATTCCTTGAAAAACCTGATACATCACAACCAATTAACTGCGTGTGCAAAGAGACTAGTATATATATATTAAGCGGGATATTTAGGAGTTCAGAGCGTTTACTTGGCAAGGCCCTTGAGAGCAACATTGTCCCTGTCAAAGTACGCAAACAGTGCATGGTACACATACGACACATTGTACTCCACACTGTCACACAATAATTTTAGATTTGGGATTAGCATATGAACAAGAAAATCATCATAAAATCAAAACAAATAAATTACAATTAAAGTTGAAATTTTGTAACAACAACATAGAGATACACACTTGATCTGCTCGTTTATGGCGGCTTCGGGCTCGTTTGCGTAACGCTGACGGGCAAGAGAGACATGAGGAGCCACAGGGACAACAAAAGCATCGTTCTTCACCTCCTCAAACGGCTGAAACACCACGCCGGTCATCGCCACTGCATCGCTGGATGCAGAAACTGAAAACTTTTCGAGTTTTCGCTGCGGCTTGAAGCTCAGAGCGGAGGAGGGTGATCCAAGTTTTGAGCTGAACAAGAGGGTGCTAACAGCACCTCCATTGTCCCGTTGCTTGGATGGGACAGAAAATGCCGAAACAGACCTCAGAGACATCGCCGATGCGATTTCCGAACGGAGTATCTCCAACCGGTGATTCGAAATCAGAGATTTTGAGCAAGAATTTGGACTGAAAATTGCAGAGGAATTGGAGAATGGTGAAGAAATGTGAGAGGCTGAGAGTGTGGCGAGGCGATAAATAGGGATGTGGAGGAGATCCAGTTGGCATGGGATTCATTCTGGACCGTTGGATCAGAAACATGTGGGAGGCTACGATTGGAACACGTGCGAGGGCGTGTGGCCAGCTCGTGGTTGTTATCTTGTTCCTCTGAAATCGTGGAATCCAGCACACTTTTCGTTCCAATTTGCAATTTAAAAATGTCACAATTTTGTCTTTTTATTATTGCAGTTACTCACGCGCTCGAGTGAGGTAAACGAAAATACGCGCGATTTCAGACCGCCGACTAAATGGAAAGGGCACTTTCGTAATATAAGATAGTTTTCCTTTCAGTTGGCGAGTAGCCAACTTTTATGGCGTGGCGTTTTTTGGTCAATATCTTTGAAAAGTATTTTAAATTTTCTTTTATTTTTTTTGTAAACAATAGGAATATTTAAAATTCTCAGGTATCATTATTGTAACGAAGTTGGCTGTGCCGTTGCCCTTCATTGATTTTAAGTACCTTGACTTTAAATAACAATCTACATAAATTAAATTAATTAAATCAGAATAACATTTTGTTAAAAACATTTATTAGTTTTCTTAATTACAATTGATAATATTATTTAAAGCTAGACTAAGAGAAGAGAGAGTTTGAACGTCGGACGTATCGGGTTAAGAAGAAGGTTCTAACCACTCGAACAATTCACTACTAAAAAAACATTATCAGTTGATATTTCTGCTAAAAAATAGGTTGAAAAATGTAAAAATATGGAAGAAGAAAAAACAAGTTGAATAGTATGAGAGGTGGAAGAAGCTGGAAGCCTCTAGGAAGAAAAGTACAACTTCCATCTGTATGATTTGAATGCAAATTTGCAATGAAGGGGTTGTTGACTAGTTGTTCATTTGGTATGGTCCGGTTCGGGTTTGGGTTTGGGTCGCAATATTGGCATTTGGAAAGGGATAAACATGGATTTGGGTTGGGGAAGGAAATTAATTGGGTTTATTAAGCCCTACTGCCTGATTTGTTAGTTGGGCCAAAAAGCCAGACTGTAAAGCGGACCTAATTAAAAACCATATTAGAAAAAGAACAAAAAAAGAAATAAAAACCATATTAGATCAAGAGATAAAAAAAATTGTGAACTTATTGGAAGACCTAATTAAAATTAGGCTAATGAAAAGCTTAATTATGATCAAATGATATTCCTATTCATTTGTAAATTAGAGGTCTCAGTTCGACTCATGGATGGCGAAAATGTATTATATTTATGTTGAGTTGGATACTTAGTTAATGGTTGTCCCATTGTGTGTCCTAATCTCCCTTCCCCTCTTCCCTTAGAGTAGAATATTTCCCTTTTTCTTAGAATATCGTTGTATAAGGGAAAAAAAGAGAGATAATACTAACATTCCCCTCACTTGCGAATAATTAGAGCAATAACCTAGATTAGTAATTCATTTAATGAGAAAAGAACAAAGAAAGAAATCAAAGCCATATTAACTTATTAGTAATTCATTAACAAAACAAGGATATTAACTCATTGAAAACGTTATTTAAGTTAAGTCATTGAGAACTATATGGACTTATTTGATGTCAAGGATTGTCATGTTGATAGAAATATAAAATATGAATGTCAGTTTGCATATTCTTTTTTCTCATTGAAGATATAGGGTGGAGAAGATTGAACAAATCAAAATTATCCCTGTCAATCCCAACATTTTTTAATGGATTAGGAAGGATAAGATTTCTCATGATTTCTTCATCTTCTACCTTCACTCGAACAAATATGCAAGTTGACATTCATATTTTCATTAACATTCATGTCTAGTGAATCAATCAAATCAAACCAAGCCAATTTTGTTTTCATCAAACGAGTCTTATAGAGTCATTTATAAGGTTCGAACTCAGAAACTTCTCTAATCAAATAAAAACGGTAACCAACAAAATGAATGTCTCTGCGTGTTAGGACAACTTCTTAGAGTTCCATTTTTTTTCCTGAGATTTATGATTTTTGTTAGACGGAAATAGTGTTTATGGGATTGAACGAGCCTGATCTAATGGAAAATTGGTCATGTACCTTCCTTACGCTGCATGCTCTATTCTGGCATGATTTTATTGATTTGGTTAAGACATTTTCTTATACTAGACAATACTTTATTCATTTCGTGGATGAAGCTAGACAAAATAAAATTTGAGTTAATTTTATTTTTTGGAATCTGATCCATTTAGATGAAACTTATAAGACGCAATATGTCAGATTACTGTCCAATTTAATAAGTTCAGTCTCAACATTTACAAGTTACCCAACAAAAGCTTTTGGACAACATCAGAAAATAAGCATGCCAAATCAGTTACGCAAGGAATCTGCAAAATGACCAAGACTGCATGCTTGAATTTGAGATAAGAGCTTGTCTCTCGATGTGAGAACCTGTGGCTCTGAGGCTCTCTGCCATGTCAAAAACATCTTATTTTGGAAGCCTTGTGAAGAATAATGTCGACACCCTGCATGCGTGTCATTTTCTACAATGGAAGAGTTTTTGTCATTCAATGACTATAGTTTATGATTCTATGCGGGCCACATGATTTATGTTGCTAATTAATATGAGAAATGTTACATTCAACGGATGTATATAAGTTTTTTTACATCTTTACGACCACAAAACGTCTTACAACTTTTATTTTGGGCACCTAGGTCATGATAAACAAAGAATGATTAGAAGTGTATTTGGCGCGCTCACTTGTCTTATTTTTCCACCCATTAGTTATATAAGGTGCATGAAAAAAGATGACAGGATGGTGGACGTAACAGCACTCTTGATTAATTGAATCTCAAAACCTACTGCTGTGTAGGTGACACCTAGCACTTCCATCGTAGTTATAATGGGAGGGGTGCCTTATTAGTCCGTTCTCCCTTTTGAGATATTGTATATATATGTACTTTGCGTTTGGGGTTTGAATTGAAATGCGAAATTTTCGACAGGGATGGAAACTGATTGTGGTAAGACTTGTGTGCATGTGGACATAAATGAAGATTGAAGCTTGTGGATAGCACAAGCATGGCACACCATTTGTCCTTAAGCTTATGGAATTGCTTTCTCGTTTTGGAACTGAAGTTAATGTAATTTTTACACAGGAATGTCTCTAGATAATACTTCTCTATTTCTAATATTGTATCGATATTGTAAAGAATGTATTAATTACGCGTCGACATGTTCTACTAACGACAATTAGCACATTATCAATAAGATATTAACAACCCGACCTTTCCAAATTGCAAACTGAACCAGCAAGTTTACGGGAAAATAGCAAATAAAGAAATGAACTTTGGAGTCACTTATAATACACAATGGTAATAGAAAACTAGGAATGATGTTAGAGAGACCAAATTTTACTATTTTTTTGTAAACGACATAAATGGCGGTTGATGGTTAGACTTATTCTTTAAATTATTTATAGAAAAAAAAATTCAACTATCAACTGCCACATCATGTTATCTATAAGAAACGATCCGAAAATTTGATCCCTCCAGTATTTTCCGAAAACCAAATACTATTTTTTATTTTTTTTTTGGTAGTACTAGATACTCCTTTTAGTAACGTATTAATCACCCTCAGTTACAAAAATATGAAATCCTTCTAATTCTCTTTAATCTATCAAGCACTCTAAACTTGATTTCTTTCTTTCTTTCTTGCTTTTTTTATGAACTAAATGTGTAAATGTAATTCAGTTTCTTTCATTCTCTCAAAAATTCACCCAAAAACTCTCTACAATATGGAGACAACCCAACATTTCACATTCAACCGGAAAGCGATTCCCAAACCCCAATCATTCACTCCCTCTTGTAAACTCTCCAACCCCATTCCGGTTACAAATATCAACAGAGGATCGAAACGATTTTCTATACTCGAACTCATTTTCCTGATTTTGAATCGCTTACTTTTTTTCGACAATTTTCTCCGCAAAGTTTGAACCCCATCTTGTCCTACACCATTCACCATGGCGACTGACGCCTCCCCTGCATTCCAAACCGTCACTCAACCCCACGACTTCCGGCCAGAAATATCAGCATCCCCCTCCTCCGCCCATGACGGCCTAGAGTTCTGGCAGTTCATGATTGCCGGCTCCATAGCGGGCCTAGTTGAGCACATGGCTATGTTCCCAGTTGACACGCTCAAAACCCGCATGCAGATTTTTGGCGGGTCCTGTTCCGTTCAACCTATTGGCGTTAGACAGGCCCTTGGCTCGATTCTGAAGCTCGAAGGCCCCGCAGGGCTCTACCGCGGCATCGGCGCAATGGGGCTGGGAGCAGGACCTGCCCATGCAGTTTATTTCTCAGTGTACGAGATATTCAAGGAGTATTTCTCACGTGGGAATCCCAACAGCCCGGTGGCGCACGCGGTTTCCGGGGTGTTTGCGACCGTTGCAAGCGACGCGGTGATCACACCGATGGACGTGGTGAAGCAGCGGCTGCAGCTGCAGAGCAGTCCGTACAAGGGAGTTGCGGATTGTGTGAGGAGGGTATTGGTGGAAGAAGGGGTTGGAGCTTTTTACAAGTCGTACAGGACGACTGTTGTGATGAATGCCCCGTTTACTGCCGTCCATTTCGCTACGTATGAGGCAGCGAAGCGAGGGCTGATGGAGGTGTCGCCGGAGAGCGCGAGTGACGAGAGGCTGGTGGTTCATGCCACTGCAGGTGCGGCTGCTGGGGCTTTGGCAGCGGCTGTGACCACCCCGCTTGATGTTGTAAAAACTCAATTGCAGTGTCAGGTCAGAACTTTTATCAATCAATTTGTTGCTCAATATGTTTGATCCAATATGTATGGTTTTTATTGGGTTTGGAATCTGGATGAAAGAACAAGCAGTTTTGCACCACAAAAAATTAGTTCTTTGTTGTTCCGGAGAGAAAGTAATCAATGA